GAGATCCTTCACAAATACATGTATAAACTAAATTTATAATTGCCTAATTTAACAAAATAAAACACCGAATGGGATCTTTTCGCTATGAATACAAATTAAAGCCACTCTTTCGAGAAATACGAAGTGGAATTGAAAAATTAAAGAAATTGAAGTTCTGATATCTCTAGCCAGTTATTCAAACAATGAAAAACACTTCCTCAGATCACCTGATGACTGATGAACTGATTAGATCGCATGGCATCTATCATGCACATATAGATACCAATAAGAAGAAGATGAAGAAAAGATGAGGAGAAGATCTTGCTAATATGTGTAGGTATGTGGCTTTCAGAATGCTAAAAGCAAAGAAAGGAACTCTGATACGATGACGTTGGGAAGTTGAATTACTTTCAAAAGTGTTTTTTTCATCTAGGTGCTAAATATGAAGGAAGATTCAAGCCAACGCCTAAATAAACTACCCACGAGAATTGGTGAACTGCGATTAACTCGTATTTCTTTTCGCTTCTAAATCAACCCAATCTTGTTTATGCTTGGAGCAAACCCTTACATCCCAACGAAAAGTCTTCTTTTTGTTCGTGCAATGATGAAACTGAGAACTACTTAACATCTTTAGACTGAACTCAGGATATCTTAAGCGAACACGAATGTTCCTTGGTTGTTGGAGGAGTACTTGAAATAAGTGGCAATCATTGACCACTTGTGGCTTGACTACTTACCCTGAGCTACTGCAGTGAGGATTACAGGCAGGAAGATAACTTTCTTCTTTACCATTGCTTTCTTCCTTGGGCTTTAACTTTGTTTCCGTTATTTCAATTTAGAAGTTGTTCGTCCCGATTCGAACAGCGTAATTCTTATATCTTATGAAGTAATACAGTATTAAAACTGGGTTTGTCACCAGGTGGGTACATTTAAAAATACGTGTCACTTTTTCTTGTTAGCGAGAGTCAAGTGAAAGTGTAGGGTGATCGTCCGGGTGAGTGTAGTCCTGAGAAGGACTGTTGTGAGTGGTAGAGACTGAAGTTTCGACAACCTGTGCGGAAGTCATCATCAGAGTCAAGTAAATAGTTGTTGTCAGTAGAATGTGCTTATTTCAGTTCGTGTAAAATGATTGGTCAGTTTTGCCTTAATGTGATTAGCTGTAAGATTCAAGTGGTGTAAGTCGGTCGTGATTGGTCTGTTCCGCTCCGTCGGTAAAGCTAGGTCGTTCTGTTCGGTTCGTTTATGTCGTGAATGAGTCGTTTGTATGGGGCCGGTAGTAGTTGTCACCTGTTTAGGGAAGTCTGTTCTAAGTTAGTAAACCAGCTTTCCAGAGTCAGTCGTTGAAAGTAGTCAGTGCTGTAGGTTAGACATTGCGCAGAGTCCCAGTCAATATTGTGGTTCGTAAGTCGATGATGTTCAGCAATGTGATTATTGAGTCAAGTGTAGTACTCCCCAAGGAGTATTTACACTTGGCTCCCGTCACGTATCTCGACATGTATCTTGAATTTTTAACAGCGTCTTGTTTATATCTGCGCTTTTGCATANGAGCAAGATTTGCAAACATGTTGCGCGATTTTTAAAAATGCTGCCTACACGACCGACATAACATCCAGGTAGCGGCGAGAACAAAATGTGGACTAACCGACATCTTAGTTACTCTTCAAATCAAGCATTCCCCGGTTTTTTTTTAAGCCTGCGCTTGCTTATAGGTATGTACGAAACTTGAAATGTTTTTTACGTTTTCTCTAATTTGACGACAAATTTTGAGGTAGGTGGTTTTTTATTGTGGGAACTCAGTGATATCCATGTTTTGAAATCAAATTTTTTCTCTAGGGCTACCTGTAATACGGCCAAGTGTCATTCTTGCTTTATCCTTCAGATAGTTTCCAGCATAGCCTGCCGTCTGACCACCAAGACTAAGTCCTATAACGTAAAACCTCTTGGCCAAGTCAGATGATCCAGAGGCACTGATTATCAGGAACCTTATGAGCTCTGCTATTTGAGCCCCAACAAGTCGAGTGTTTCCTGCAGATTGAAAATAACCTTTCTTTGCTCCTATAGACCAGTCCACCACAACCACATTGCAGTCCTCCCGCTGCAAAAGTGCGTCTTTCATACGTAAGGCCCAGTTTCTTGGATTATCTAGATGCGATATATTTCACGAGAGAGGGATTAAGTTAGAGTAGTTCTAATTTTGCACCTCAAATCCTACTTTTTTAGATAGTCAAAACAAATTATCTATGCTCACTGACATATTTTCAAGAATATTTTGTGGCCAGGGAAGATGCCAGAAATGAAAAAATTCTCAAAGCACGTCTTTCAGCTGAGGCAACCTTGAAGGCCTTCCTAGCCATTTCGAATAGTTCTGTTAATGGCAGTGAGTGAATAACTTAAAAAATTTACAGTAAGTGTTTTGGAAAAATTCGGTATGAAGGATTAAGTCTTGAAGCTTTATATTTTCCTGTTTATGACCGTGACAATTTATTTTTCACGAGAGGAGAGAAAAAACTCAAGTCCATTGTTTACCGGTCAATTGATCTGACGCAATCATTTTAATATATGCAGGGTTAGTGAGTACCCAAGATGACGCCTTCAGGCTTTACTATAAGTTTGGGAGCTTGAGTTGTAAGCAGTTCTGGTACTTACCCCTCCAGCCATGAATCAAGAAGATAGTTCGACGCCTGATGTTGAATTTAGCTACTCCCAGCCTACTTCTATCTACGTCATCAACTTCTGCAGACCCACTTCTTGTATACATGTTGAATTTCGTGCCAACATTAGATGGGCTTTCTGGTAGTTTTGGTCTGACAGTGATCAACCCCCAACGAACTCCAGGATGCTTATAGAAGCAGCCGTATTTTCCATAGCAGACCTTCGAGCGCCAAAACCAACCTGAAGAAATTAAAAATAAAATTTTATTAATTCGGCAAACTAGCATCATAGAAATTAATTTGATAACACTAAAAATCAATGATGTCAATGGCGCAATTTTCATACGTTGATCAATATTGCTCACAAGAATATTAACAAAATAACTCCTAAACACTGTCCTTAGAGCGTAATCAGTATTGGCTCTTTTGCTTAACTTTCATCATGCTACTAGAATAAATGACGCAAGCCTATAAAATAGCTTCAAGTTAAAAATACAATACAATACAAATTATATCCGCTATTCATAAAGAGAAAGGCGGTTTACATTACTAAATGAGTTAGTTAGCAATACTTGTGAAAAATAAATAGTTATAAAGAAAGGTAAAAAATCTAAATCATAAACCCAATTCGAAGTTCTTAGAGAGCTGACACTTGAGTATGTGGTATACTTGAGATAATTGGTAGATTAACATTTTTTATTCAAACCATACTCCTAAGCTTCTAGCTCATCCGACAGATCGATTGCTATTATTACCAGCGGGTAAACAACTGTTCCAATCTTACGCACTTAGCTGATATTGATATGCAGAATATATAAAATACCCAAAAAACACAAAGGATACGAAAAACATTTCGCATGTAGAAAGAATCAAGGAAGGAACTCAATCGTGTAATGGTTCCCACGATACTCGTGTGATGAGAAGTTTCCGTTCAAGTCATTGTTAGGCCTTGACTCTTCTTAGAATTAAAAGTGCGCGTAGTGATGAAAAAAAAGCGACCTCAAAAGCTTCGTATGCGGCGTTTCGTGAGTGGTTACTTTTCCTTGTTTCATCTCAGACTCGCATGTCACTGATATCGGATTGGGTCGAAGTTAGATCCTTACGTCACTGATAGTGGACTGGATCGAAGTTTCACAAAAACATTAAGAGTTACGGCTAGGGTTAAGATGTCTTCAAGCCAAAAATGCTTTTAAAAATTTATTGCCACGTGGATGATGATGATGAGTAGTTTTCTAGCATTCGTAATTATGTCGTCTTTTAAACATTTTAAGAATAATTTCGGTATTGCGGCTGTCAAATTCAATATTTTTTTACGAGTTCCTTCCTGAATATGATCAAATATTGTCTCGATTCTGTGTGTGTAAAAATATTGCTTATTATAGAAAACTGATCATAGTCGCATATCAACGCTTTCGAATGTAAACAGAAGTGAACTTTTCGAGATGAATAATTGAAAGCAATAAGGAACTTGAGTTCTGTTATTTCAAGCCAACCTGCCAATAAATGATAGAAACATTTCTCACTGCTTGATGACTTACCGTGGATAAAAAAGACTTTTGGTCCGATTTGTACATTACACTGATGTATATTGCGTGGTATCTATTATTCACGAAGTGAAATGAAGAAGAAGAGGATGAAGTAAAAGATATGGAGGAGTTCTGGTAGACATGTGTTTGTGATGTTAAGAATACTAAACGAAAAGAAAAATCTAGGCTAGGGACGTGTGATTATTTAACTTAAAAAGTTTAATATCAGTCGAAAGTTATTTCTTCATCGGGGTGCTAAACAAAGAAGGAAAAAAGTTCATGCAAATAAAATTCTACAATTCGTGATTCTCTACACTTCTTCAACAACTGCAATCTTGATTCTGTTTGGAGCAAACGCTTGTATCGGAATACAAAGTCTTCATCTTGTTCGTTCAATTATGAAACTGAGGATAAATTCACATCGATAGACCGACCTTACAATCACTTCACTGATCACGAATGATCCTTGCTCATTAGAGAGATCTCTGAAGCAGTGGGTACAAGTGAATTTTAAATCACTTTATGGCTTGGCTACTCACCCTCTGCTGCAGCAGTTAGGATTAGAAGCAAAAAGATAACTTTCTTGGTCAACATTTCTTCCTTCCTTCAGCCCTCACCTTAACCTTGTGTTCGCGATTGTTGTTTGTCCCTTCTCGATCGACGTATAACTTATAAAGTAATTAAGTGTTATAATAAAAGTTTGGGATATTCCCCAATGTTTTGACGTTGAATTACGTCATCTTAAAACGAACGACCAATGGGAAGTCAACGGAGACAAGTTCTTAAACACGAAGGCGCGCTATATAAGGAAGTCTTTCCTAGTAAGACCTGGGCTCATTTGTCACTCACCGTTGACATGTGCGGGTCAAATTTAAATGCTGGTAGACGAACAAAAGGAGCTAATAAGATATCTAATGTTTACTTCCACCAGCATGGTGGCATGAGGTAACGTGCGAACAACCTACTTCGATCTTAAATTTACTACCACAAATAAAGACAGTTTCCATTGGAGAAAGGAAATAAAAATCTCAAAAATTCTTGTATTGTGATGAGGACATAAAACAATTTTGAGGAATGCACACGCTGCTCACTGCTTTGGATTAGCTGTAGCTCAAGCTGACTTGACTCTAAGAGTTCTACATGACACGACGGTTGATCGACAAATGGTCCAGTGGGACCTAAGGCTCCTTTTAAAGCGCGCCTTCGTGTTTAAGCGTGTATCGAGCCTAAGTATCTTGAAACGAAACGACCTGTTTCTTGCTACACTGTCTTTCGTACTGTGACTGGATAAAATAAATGTTTCTGATGTATTATTAATTCATCTCCTAGGATGAATTCTTTTTTCTCATCACAGAGCAGCAACACTTAAGGCTCTCTCCCTATAATTTTTATAATTGTTACTAAACAAATTTTTCGAGTTATGAGGCTAGGTCAACCGGGGTAAATTTTTAAGGGTTTTTCGTCCCGACTGCTTCTTTATAACCACCAAAAGATACCTTCCAATTGAAACTCTCTTTTTATGGATATAAGTTACATAACGATAGATTGGAAAGTTTCGGGAAATGTACAGTGGTAATAGAGGCATTGGATACAGTTCCACAAAAGCTTAAAAGCAGTCACGGTCTATCCGTATTTTTGTGGAGCTCATTTGAAGGCTTGCGCTCTAAGACTTCAAGAATCCTGAGTCAGATATTAAAACAACAGATACATGTCTGAAGTATCTTTGAAAACTTAAGGTTTTCCCGAGCAACTTGTTGTTTTCTCAGCTGAGGATAGCCGTCAGAAAGCTGGTACATGTAAGAGTTTGGCTTTGGGTTTGTGAGAAGAGTTAAAGATTCTTGCTGTAGTAACGTACAACAAAAGAAAAAAAAAAGGAATGTCTAAATCCTTGGTCCCTGAGGGAAACCTGTTTTCATCTGAGATGAAATTTTTGACGACAAGAGCATTACTGCTAGCTACAAAGTAAGGGGGAGGACCGCTTTCAAGGGACGTCTCGCAAGCCATGATTCTGATCATGCCAATGGATCTCAGATATGATATTGATTGGCCATGCTTTCATAATCCTTTAATAACAATAATAAAAATAACGAATTGTTCAAATGTGACAGAAAATTCTTGCGGAATCTTTCTCATAGTCTCTAAATGACAAATGCCCACAAAGACAATATTTCTTTTAAATGAGTCACATACAACGAGAAAAAGAGAACTGAGGCGCCCGGTGGAAAAAAGGTTAAAAACTATCGTTACGTCAAAGTTACTCTGAAGTTCAGGCAGGCAATTTTCTGAAAATTGAAGTTTTAACTTTAACTTATCCTTACTACTCCTTTGCAAATAAGTTTTCAGAACTACCTCCAGTCGGCTTTAAGTGAGCTTTGAAACCACCGAATGGTACGAGTACATCACAGACCACTGAGGATTTGCAAGCATTTCTATTTAAAATGACAAATATCGATTTCTTTGATCTGTCATCATGGTCTTCCGGCCTTCTGTTGGCATAGACAGAAATAGCCTCGGATTTCAACTTTCTATTTTATCCAAGCCCATACACATCCTCCATGGACCATTAAAGTGTCCCGACTACTTTCTTAAAGTGGTGTTTCCTAAGCACATGCCAAGCAGCCATGAAAACTTCTGGCAGTTTCCGGAGGTCATATTCACTGGCAACTTGGCTAATTCTTATCGGAAGCTTTTACCTTCACTAATGTTAACAAGTTTAACGTTTGTTTGTGTATTGGGTGTGGCTGCTTGTATTTTATGTTTTTTCCTTTTTGATTTTCTGCTTATAAATCTTAAGATTGGGCAATAAATTTTCCCCATTCCATGAACTTTTCGTTCAGTTATCATTCTAGATATCAAGGCAAAGATTTGACAAAATCCACGCAAACAAAAATTCTGCCAAACTAACATCTATTGTGTAAAATTTGGCAACAGCTTTTAAAAAATCCGTTGCCCTATAACGATGACACTTAATTATCTAATCCTTAGTCAGTTCTTTGCTCAGTTGAGTGGTTACATATCTTTATTTGGATTTGAAGGCAAACATGGGGAATAGTTCCAATTTCTTATTCACATTTCAAGACATATAAAGATTTCATTTAAGGCAAATTGAAGCAAAGGAAAAAGATCGTTCGTCCGGTAAGGAAACAGACTGCTACCCAACTCGTTCTTGCTTTGCAGTATATTGGAACTTTGCGGAGTGATTCAACTCCAGTAGAATTTCCATACCGTCAGGTAGTATTTAGTCCTCCACCGTTTCACGTGTATCTCCACAATATTTTAATTACATTTCTCCTCTGATCTTTAGTCTCAGCCATGGAGGCCTCACCTTGTAACCAATGGCTGCAACAAATACGAGATAAAACTGAAGTATCGAGGCTTCGCTCGACGAGTATCATAAATGTAGTCCTCAACAGTGTCTTTTGTCATACAACAGTAATGTTAAACATATTGGCAATCCATGGAATACGGAAGGCATCAGCTTTGCCTAGAACACTTAGGATATTGCTGATTAGTCTTGCTGTATCTGATCTGGGAGTTGGTTTGTTTGGTCAGCCATTCTTCATCTCAACTCTTGTCAAGTTGATGCAAAACGACAATTCTGAGTGTGTGTCCTTTCAGGGCTTTCATATCACACTGACAATGTTTTGCATGGCTTCCTTAAGTGGCACTGCGGCCATAAGCCTGGACAGATTCTTAGCGGTTCATTTCCATTTGCGATATCAGGAACTTGTAACTCCCAAGCGTGTCGTTGTTTTGGCGATCTCCACATGGACACTGAGTGCATTTCTTACTGTTTTTTCGGAAACCCTTATTGCTCTTGTTTTTGCGATTCTATTTCACATTGTAACAGCAATGGTCTACATCAGGATTTATTTTGCTGTTCGAAGGCACAAGAATCAGATACAGTCCTTGCAAATACAGTGCAATGTTCCGCATCCTGGTGAAATGGCCAATTTTGCGGGGCTCATAAAATCACTGGTTGGTGTATTCTACGTGTATCTGGTATTTCTAATTTGCTATCTGCCGTCATATATTTGCACTGTGGTCGCTGAACTGAAAGAGCCAAATACCACATTAAAGGTACTTCTGTTGTTTTCGTATTCTCTGGTATTTCTGAATTCCACCTTGAACCCAATACTCTACTGTTGGAAAATGAGACACATTCGACGTTCGATTATAAACATGCCACGACAAATACTTGCTTGGTACACGAATCGCTTCCTCTAAAGAGGGTGATACAAAGGGCATGGCACAATGCTTAAAACAATCTTCAAAAACACTTTCTTCACGATAATAATTGGAAATAATCAGACTGTAGCTGAACTTTGTCAGAATCAATGTGAAATTCAGGCTTATAAACTAAACAACAATTTTAATGATGATTTAAGTCTGAGGTAAAATAATTTTTTAACGATAGAATTTTACTCTAGTACTTTTATGAATAAACACGTTTCGAGGTTTTATTTTTACTCATGTTTTTGGTGAATCAACCCTAGCTTCGTATTTTACAAAGCAGTGATAACAAGGAATGTATGTAGATGTAAGATGTCCATTTAGCCACCGACAGGTAGTCTAGTTCTCTGTAAATATGCACAATATCTACCCTCCTTCATCCTGAGGAAATATACAACCACATACTTGAATTAATTAGCCGGTAACTTCAATAAACTGTTAAAAATCTGAAATATCCCTTGCTGGGTATTTCACCCGGTAATGTTTCTCAGTTCAACCGTAAGCTGTCAATGACAAACACACCTTTAAGTAGTCTAATCATTTAAAAATCATCCAACAAAGTACTTTTTGAAACGTTAGAATTGAAAGAAACTGAATTAGTTCTTCGCTTCTTTTTTTCGTCTAAAGCTCTCCTGATATTACTAAATATTATATGTAGCTTTTCGTACCATTCCATTATCCCTGTGATTTTACCCATTGATATGAATCTTTTGTTCATTAGTCATTCCAAAGATGAAGCCAAACACAATCTACACACAAAAATAACACTGCATAGATGAATTCAAAAGGGTTAAATTTAGAAACGGCTTTTATGGCAGATAATGGATATGTCCGCTTAATTAAAACAAATTGATTTCTGATTATTGACTGTTCTTTACATCTTAAACGAGTTGAATAAATTTTTGCAATTTAAAGGCAAACACGGTAAAGCGTCCATTTCCCCGAGCATACCTCCTGAAGCTTAAAGAATAACTGGAAACAAATAAAAAGGCAACTTATCTCAATAGATACTATGATTCCAAATTCATCTGTCAACCAAATAAAAGACAATTGTCATAAACTGATCTCCATAAAATAGACTGTTGCCTGCTACCTTTTACTTTGTGCTTCGCAGTATTTCACAGCATACAGCTTCGATAAACATTTTACCGAAATTGTCTCATAGAAAATTACGTTCAAGGAGTGAATATTAAGTTTGTAATCACTAGCAGCAAAATTAGTTTTCAAAGCCATTTAGAAAATTTTGCAAATTAGTAAGCGTATTAGATTAGAGATTAAATTTGATTGTATCAACTGAGTTGATTATGTGCATTGGCCACCAATTGGAGATTTTAAAGTTTGCGTTTCGGTCGTTAGTTAGAGCGGAGAAGAAGGACTTACGCTTGAAACAGGAGCTTTAGCTTATCTCGACTCTATCAAAAGTCTTACCTCGTTACCAGTCTTCCTCGCAACACGTCTTTGATCTCGCCCCCGAGTAAAATAGATACATGAGGTATT